AAGCGCACATTTCAGATCGTTTTCTCGACATTTTCAGAAACCGTTATTGATACAAACAAGTCGTTAAACTGCTTGCGAGTCCATCTTTCAGCTTTCCAGTCATCAATAAAAAGTTCCGTTATTCTATATCTCTTAGTCGCGTTATATTGCAGAATTAAAATACTTAATGGCAGTTTTATCTCTCAAAAAATACTCGTGCGTACGCAAAGTTGTCGGAGCCGGTCGTCGCGCATCCAGATTTACGCGGCAGGCCCTTATGTAAAGCCGTTTGTAAAATTTACATCGGACGCACAAAGAAAGTGTCGGGCATTTGTCGGGCGAGCTAATTGAATTAAGCCCGCCACGGCGCGCAGGTGTTCAATTATTTCCTTTACCGCTTTACGAGCTTCTCCGCCTTTGTCGTGATACGTCCCGCGAGATTTTTCTTGGCGCTAGAATGACGCCAACGTGTGTAACCTGCGTGCGTGCGGGCACGCACGCTCGGCAGGTGATCCGCGAGAAACGATAGAAGGACGATACGATCGACGCGCGAGATAACCGTCTGAATTATCTTTCGGCGAAACGTGAAAACCGGCTGCTGCGATTCACCTGTACGCCGTTCGTCTTACATGAGGTGCTCTCCTTGAATCTCGTTACGCGCGTCCACAACGTCCCTGAACTTCTCTTTCTCTTATCTACTTATTATTAGCACTCGTTATCTTTTCACAGTCTGCAAATCTATAACGTGTATACAGGATATATTGCTACAATATTTATTATTATTTATTATTTTATTATAATGTTGTTATAATATAAATATTAAAATGTGTTTTGGCCGGTCTTTCTAAGACACTTGGGATATATTTAGTATCGATGAATTTGAGAGTTTACTTAAATGCATCATAAAATTAGGAAATTCCTTTGAAGCGATCCCTTCGAAAGAGTACCAGCTGGACGAATGGACGGCGGATTATTTTTCAGTGGAAAAAAGCTTCCCAGCAAAGTGAAGAGTTAAAGACCAGACGGTCATCTCATCCGGGATCGTGTTGAACATACTCGATCGAGCGTTCTTAATACGATCTCGGTCGTAGGTATCCTTTCGTGCGTGCTTTCCATTGTCCCTGAACTTTCGCAAATTCGCAGACGACTCAGCTTTCTTTCCGCGACTGCTTGTTGCCGCGTAAACGATGTTTCTCCCGCAATTAATCGTTAATCTCAACCGTATAGTAAAACCTCAATGGCAAACCGTTGAAATCCTTCTCGACCCCTTCTCGGCCTATTGCGCCCCGACATTAAATCGCGAAATCTCTAGCCGCGAGCTATATTTTTGCGACCGCGAAATGCAGATATTTATCCCCGAGTACTTCGATGTCGCAGCCGCGTGCGTTCACGCTCGCGCTTGTCTATTTGTCGCTCTCGGGTTCTCCGCTTTTTTATGCTCGCACTTTTGTTCCGGGACGTCGCGCACTCCACACGAGCGAATGCCTCTTTTTTACGAGATCGTCAACGTTGAAAGTGTCCGACAGTTTTGGCCTCGGCGCGCATATACGCGTCGCAATACTTCACTTTTCATGTTCCAGTTTTTATTCGATTGCGGCTTCCGGCGATGCTCGGTCGTTAAAAGCTGGCTAAAATCTCGGTGATTTTATTTAATTTATAATTAAGGCATTAAATGTGAGAGAAAGAGAGAGACAATTTATTAAAATTAATTAATTTATTAAAACTAATTAATTTTGAGAGACAATTTATTAAAACTAATTATTTATCGAGTCTCAATTTTGCTAATGTATCTTTTTTGTTATTATAGCTTGTAAGAACTTAATTATTTTATTAGATGTCTTAAAAACCGCAAAGGATGTAAAAAAAAAATAATGCAAGGATATCTGAGTGAATCGTCAATCCTGCCAACCTTGAGCCACAATCGCGATGCAACTTAATGCACAATTGTGAATTATAATAATTACGGTAACCAACTTCCGCCGTCATATGTCTTTTATTATGCGATTGGTACTTTGCGGATTTTCGGCGGAACGAAACACGACCAACACATTGTGGTCGCGTGTCGCCCGTCGAGAATCATCTGCTGTATAGCGGTTTTCGAGGTCGTGTCGCGCGAATTGTGAGGTGTAACATCGTATTAATGTAGCCCCGAAGACCATACATATATTATCGCATCGAAATTTACCGGTGCGTATCGTGTAACAAACTCCGTGTCGATTGGGACGCGCCATCGTTCGTCCAATATTTTATCCCTTATATCAGGCTACTTTTTTCCTTTGTTCGCGTACAAGTATCGCATTAATCTACCGCTTCTGGTTATTCATTTGTTCGGACGTGTACGGAAAATCGAGCGCGAGAAAAGATAAAAGAGATTTTTTCTTGGTAAAGATTCAATAAAGAAACTTCTTTCTATAAAAAAACGTACTCTACATATTTGATTTTTTAAATATATATTATATATATAATTTTATTAAATACTATTTAT